CGCGTGCGTGCAAACCGGCCTCGCTTTATGGATCTGTTAGCGGCAACGAGGAAGACCGTGTAGTCTTGTACAACATGGTTTTCGGTTTTCGCAGACGAGCCACGTCACGACCGCGGTGGTCGTAGCGGCAAGTCGCAGAGAGTTTGTTGGTTTTCGTAAGCCGCTAAGTTTGATCATCACGAGGAGTAAAGAAAAGGCAACACAGCAACACGGTGTTAGTTGTTGTTCTGCCCGGGGCGGGGGTACGAGAAACAAAGCTCCTCTCCCGCCCCGATGCTCTGGTCTTCACAAAGAAAAATCGTTCCGTTCACTCTTATCTACCCAGCACCTTCTAATATCCGTACACTGCTGGTCTTACTGGCGTGGGCACCTTGCGTGGTCCAGCCCAGCTACTAACAAAACAGGGAGGCGCTTCTTGTAGAAATTAAACGGAAGATAAAATGGTGTGCTGGGCGTGGAAGACTTCGACCACCGCATGATACTAAAAACGGTGTGTGCCAAACCTGTCTCTATGAGTCTAACCAGTTTGATCATCACTTCGATTTGCACGACACAACAGCAGTTCCCCCGTTTTCCCACACAAACGGGAATTACTCTCGTCTGTCGTGGCAACAACATTACGACCAATTAAGCCATTTATGAATTCTCTTGGGAAGATCGACCCACAGAACAAATCACCACACCAGCACCCGCCTCACCACAACTCAATTCTATGATACCCCTTTGCGTCCTTGGCACGCTTTGTTGATCCCATGGCACTCATCGCATACACAATAAAGCATCTACATATACATTCCCTAAAACCTAAAACACAACACGTGACGTACTATAATTTCTCCACCCAGCGGAGGCCGCACCTGTGCCACTCCGAGAAAGGGGCCGGTATCGCCTGCCGACGCAGCAACTCCTTCCGTACGGGTTCTACCGCCGCCGCTGTTCTGCTACAAGGTAAAATAAACACACAATCACACTGGCAAACACAACTCCCTCCCCCGTCTGGCTACTTGCGCCTAGCCCCACCCGTTCTCGCCGGTATTATCGCTTTCACGAAAAATAAAATTCACGTATGTAAAAAACAACTACTACAACCAGGTACTACATCACCACTGTAAAATTGCAGCCTCCACAGAAAGTGCAGCCTCTGGAGTGCAACAACACCAGCGCAGCTTGCGTCACTGAAAGGCAGTGCACCCGCCCACGAAAATAGAGACATGTTGTGGAGTGGTGGGCTTTCCGTACCATTGTCCGCTGGCTCTTGCCCTCTCTCTCAAAACCACACCACACCACACCACACCACACCACAAGCATGTACTTTACATTTGCCATCGGCCATTGGC